TTTTTTTTTTTTCCCAAAAAGAGTGATAGTTATAATTTGACCATCTCTATTTTCCTGTATGTGGGCTGTGAGCTCACTGACATGATAGTGGGTTCTGGATCATAGAGGCTATGGACAGAAAGCTCAGCCTTCACCAGCCAGATCTTAAATAAATCACTTTTCATTTCATGTCCTCAGTTTCCTCATCTGTAACATGAACACAATACTTGACACATGGGAGGGGCTCAAAAAATATCAAATAGCTGGAGGGAGAGAGGAGGGGATGAACAGGTAAGTAGATGGGTGTAGAAAAAGGATGGGTGATGGTAGACAAATGAAAGGGAGGGTGGATGCATGAGGGATGGATGGAAAAATGGAAGGATGAACGGTTGGATGGATGGTAGGACTATCAGATGGATGAAAGAAGGTATCGCTGAAAGGATGGTCAAATGGTAGGTGGATGGGTGAACTTCTAGATGGATGAGAAGATGGATGGCATGTTGAGTGGATGACTGATGGACAGATGGAAGAAATGATGGATGGGACATTGAATGGATGAATGGATGGATGGGTTTCTTTTTCAGATCTCTAACATTCTGATGCTATGTCCGCTTCTCAGACCCTTTTGTGAAAATTCAACTGGTACATGGACTCAAGCTTGTGAAAACCAAGAAGACATCCTTCTTAAGAGGCACGATTGATCCTTTCTACAATGAATCCTTCAGCTTCAAAGTTCCCCAAGAGGAACTGGAAAACGCCAGCCTAGTGTTTACAGGTAGGTCGCTTTTTAGATGACGAGCCCCAGGTGAGGAGGATTCGATTTATTGTCTCAGAGACAGAAGGCATCCAGAAAGGGTCATTTTTGAGACCTCAGATCTAATGTTCAACTAACTGGGTCTGAATCCACTAACCATCTGTGAACTTGGGTAGATTTCAGTGGGATCATCAGTATAAAACTATGTAGCGTAATTGTTACAAATGTGGATTCTAGAGCCAGACGCCTGGCCCTGCTGAATAATTGAGGCTTCAGGCAAGTTACTTATCAATCCCTCTGAGGCTCAGTTTCCACATCTATAAAATGTGAATACTACTGTTTGCTCCATAGGTTTCTCGTGAGTATTGAATAACTTAAGACTTTGGAATAGAACTTGGCAGATAATAAGCACTCATTCTATTTTATCTTTGATGATGATGATGATGATGGTGATGATGATGATGATACAAGTTGCTTATTGTCAAATGGGGAAACATGACAAAACTGGTGTCATCTCTCCCTCTCTTCGTGCTGCTGTCAAGTTGATCCAACTCATAGCAACCGCTCCCTGGGTTTCCGAGGTAGTATCTCTACAGAAGTAGATTTCCCAGTCTTCCTTCTGAGGAGTGGCTGGTGGGTTTGAACTGCCAGCCTTCTTGTTAGCAGTCAAATGCCTTAGGCACTACACCACTAGAACTCCCGTCATCTATCCCAGACAGGAGGATACTGAAAGACTTCCCAAAGGACATAGTGTTTGAGTAGAGGCTTTGTGTGCCCCTGTCTGGTAGAATTTAGTCCATTATTTCCAGGAATACATT